TACTAGGGTTTAGAAGGGAACTTCTCCCCTGCTGTTTTGCCCTCAGACCATGTCCCCTGAGAGAAAGAGAAGTCTGCTGCAAAAACAGAAGGAAAAGTGCGTGCTGGCCTCCAACACGTGCCCCTAAGCACATCTGTTTCTCAGAGGGCAAATAGAAGTTGCTCCTGTCTGATAGAGGCCCCGTGTGGCCTGTCTTCGTTGACTTCGGCCCATCTAAATACATGCATGTTGTCAAGCTTTCGCTTCTCGCCTTTCAAACAACCCTCTCATGTCAGCCCATATTTTAAACCCAATAAAAAATAAATCAGAGAAAAGTAAAACCCTTTGAAAGTCATTTCCCTCCACCTTACTGCTTACTTTAGTGTTGGTTAAAAACCAAGCCCAGGGCATTTAAAACAAGATTTATGAATCAGGCTCTTCAGGATGAATGTTTTGCAATGTGCCAGTGGTTAAAAATTAACTTTGACAGGTGTAGAAGGGCCAGGGGGAGAAAGAGGCATTTATTCTCCACTCTGGGCTTGAGGGTGCAATAGTAGACTTCAATTATGCTACATTAATATTTCTGGATATATCCATGAAATCTGAAATATGTAAAGACACTTATAATGGGTTTCATTCAAATGCACCCTGTGCTAAATGGGACCCTTTTTACCTTGGTTGCCCTATAGAAATCTACTTTAGCTACCTAAGTATGAATAGTGTAAACATAACACAGTTATTCAAGAAAACCTGCTGTTTGGCTTTAAATATTTTTAAGACTTTCGGGAACAAAAGGGAACAGCAAACTGTCGACAGGGTACTGCAAGCTCCCGCTGTGTACCTAACCTTTCCGGATCTCAGCTTCCCTCCAGAAAAGAGAACCCTGCCTTCGGGCTGCTGGCCGCTGGCCCTGCTCAACGAGCTGCTGTATGAGAGTTCTTGGCGAGCGGGGAAGCCTATTCAAAAAAATAAAAATAAAACCAATCATCGGGATGATTATCCTGCCGTGCCCAGGTGCATGCCAGGAAGGCTCCAAACAGTCCTCGCCGTGTAGAAACGCGTGACTGGCGGCTTCAACAGGCAGGAAAAACTACAGAAGCGCTCCATGCAAGCGGACAAGCAGCGGAAGGGCATCCACAGACCGCATCGCAGACTCCACCTGCACGGACGCAGGGGCAGGGCCGACCTGGGTGCAGAGAGAGCGGCTGGCACTGTGTGGGACCGCTGCGCACAACTGTACATTTGTGCACTGGGCAAGGGCATCTGGGCCAGGTGATGGGGGGAGGGGGAAGCACGGTGCTAAAACCCAGGCCACTCCCCTCACCAAGCCACACACACAGAGAAGGCGGCACCCTACACAAGCACCTCCTTCTTTCTAAGCTGTGCACCCACTGGGGTGGCAGCTGCTCACAGAGCTTCCCTTTCAACATTGCACTTGAGCGTCTGCAGGCTCCCAGAGGCTCCAGCTCAGCTGGCTGTGGATGTGGGTCAGTGGGGAGACGGGCCGGATGGAGCTCGGGGGTGGACTGAGGGAGGCAGGGCCCTGCAGGTCGCTGCGGCTACAGCAGAGGGCAGGGGGACACGACAGGGCCATGCATTTCTGCATGGCTCAGCTCATCTAATCCTCCTCACCGGCCCAGGAGAGAGGTCTTACTCCCATTCCAGAGTCTGGAAAACAGTTTGGAAAAGCCGACTTAAGTCAGCGGCAAAGAGCCGAGGCTCAAATCCAGGCCCACGGCTCCTTCCACGGCGGGTGGGACGGGGGCCTTCCCCGGGAGGCCACAAACACTGGGTTGTGACTTTTACTCGTGTGACCCACAGGAGCTAACGGCAGAGATGTCGTGGTTTATTATGTGCTGGAAACCCAGGAGGGGTCGGGGGATGTTAAAAGCAGCCTCATTTGCACAGGAAGGCTTTGCCGGCTGCAGGCAGCAGGGGGCAGCAGACACACCAGGCTGTATCCAGGGGCAGCTCCTGGCAGACCTGGCCTGCCCTGGTCCGGGAGCGTGGGGTGGGCCTCACGTTTACTTCACGTCCAGAATGACGGAGCTGGACAGTGCCTTTCTCTCTACGCTGATGCCTTTTAGGGTCCTGTCACTTAGAACGTGTACTGCTTTTGTAAAATTGCAGGCCATCACTTCTGCGCTCTGCATTTGTTTTGAATAAATCTTGAAATGCCAGCAACCCAAATGCTATTCCTCCTTCCCGGATTCCAACTGAACCTATTCTTCAAGGCCACTGTCAGGTTCAATTTCTTCCACAGAGCCGGCGCCGCAGCTCACTAGGCTAATCCTCCGCCTTGCGGCGCCGGCACACCGGGTTCTAGTCCCGGTTGGGGCGCCGGATTCTGTCCTGGTTGCCCCTCTTCCAGGCCAGCTCTCTGTTGTGGCCAGGGAGTGCAGTGGAGGATGGCCCAAGTCCTTGGGCCCTGCACCCGCATGGGAGACCAGGAAAAGCACCTGGCTCCTGCCATCGGATCAGCGTGGTGTGCCGGCCGCCGCGGCCATTGGAGGGTGAACCAACGGCAAAAGGAAGACCTTTCTCTCTGTCCCTCTCTGTGTCCACTCTGCCTGTCCAAAAAAAAAAAAATTTCTTCCGCAGGCCTTTTCCGTCTCCCTACCCTGAATACCCACCAACTGTGCCTTCTGTGCTCAGGGAGTACTTGCACGCGCCCCCCCCCCCCCCCACCATCCCCAGTATTTAGCTATACCTTGCATGCTAACAGGTCATGTCTGAGCTGAGACTTTGCCTCAAACATCAGCATGGCAAGTTCTACATGGTAACAACCACAACACATAACAGTGTGGTGCCCCCAGTACACTCACACACACGCTGTGACAAGAGGCGGGGGGGGGGGGGGGGGGTTTCAGGGAAAATGCTGCAGCCCTTCCAGGCCTAAGAAATCGGTTCTTCTCCCTGGGGTGCCCTGCCGGATCACCAAAGGAGTTCAGGGTGGCTTCCCTGCAGAGGGGGAAGAGAGCCCTATGAGGTTTCCCAAGGGAGAACACAGCCACTCGATTCCAAAGGGCTGATGCGACAGACGGAGGAGGGAGGGCACACAAAGGGACACACGAGGGTTGGAAGACGACTTGGATTTCAGTTTTTTTTTTTTTTTAAGAGGCCGCATGAATCTTGGGATGATCTAGCGAATGTTCCCGGCTTTGTCATTCTAGAGCAGAGCAGGTAGAATGAACCTTCCTTGGAACCGGCACACGGGTTCCTTAGTGGAGGGAGGTGGGGTCCTCGGAGCTATCCAGCAGCAGTAAGGGCACATTATGAAAACCGGCAGATCCGCTTTGACTTAAGAGATCCCAGACGTTCAACTGATACCAGTCAGACCAATCAAACCCCAGCACGCACTAAGCCACCCTCTGCGTAGCAGGAATCCTCAAGCGCTGTACGGGAGAACCTCACGAGCGGGATCTCGCCAAGCCCCGCCTGGCTGTCAGCATCGTCCTTCTGCACTTCACTGGAGAAGCCCAGGATGACCGATCCCCTAGCCCTTGGCCGGAAGCAGGGCCTCACTCTGCCTGGGCTCCAAGACACATGCCAGTCTGCTCAGGCAGGAGGGAAAGGCCTCAGCTCTTTGGCCCAGCATCCTGCTGGTTCTTGTCCTTGGTCACCTACTCAGTGAGTCTAGGGGTGTTAGTTCAAGTGCCTTGTTCCATGCCCCCACCTCTACTGCTTCCTACAGAGCCCAAAGACAGCCTCTGAACATCAACACAGAGCTCCCAATGCCGCTAGCAAACTAACCAACGGCCCGAGTAGTGACACGAGATGACACCTTTTGGCCACCCCCTGAGGTCCTGGGCCGCCTCTGCTGACCGTGCCCCCCCGTAGCAGTGACCTAACACTATGAGCATCCCTTGGCAACACTCAGCTTGCTGGCATCTGGATCTCTGGGGCTGTACCACGCCTCCTCGGTGAGTGTATCTGACGCTGCTCTCACCTGGGCGCCACATTTTTGGCCTGTCCTCCGAAGTCCTTCCCAATTCCTCCCCCTCAAATGGCTGCCAGCCCCGACCTCTAGCCCAGGCCTGTGGGTAGGTTGTGAGCAGAGGCCCTCACCTCTCTCAGGCTGCCCTGTGAGATGCAAAAACCACAGCCAGCGAGCGGGCTGCACCGTACAAGATCACACACAACCTGACTGTCCACTGCCCGACACTGATGGCTGGGGCCCAATGCGTGCTCAGACAGAAAGAAACACATCATTTGCAGGAGCTACCTATAACAAATTATAAAGTCAAGGCGTTTCACTTAAATTCGAGGCATAAATTCGGACTACAAACAACACTTTCTCCGCGTCCTGAGACTTCTGAGACTTTATTTAAAGGATCCTAATCATTGTTCTAAACGACCAGCCACTCTTGGCTACCTTTTCGCCAGTTTATAGCACAGTGAGGGTGTTAGGTTTTCCACAGAAGGAAAATGCATCCGTTTAAATTAAAGCCACTGCTAACACAGTCTACATTTCCTGCTTTGTGAGATGGCTAACTGAACACCAGCCCGCTTTCAAAGAAGCGCCTGGCCTGGTCTAAGCTGCTGCAGGGAGCTCTCTGGTTTCATACTGCTTGCATTATTAGGAATGTTTATTTTGACAGACATTTCTCAGCACAGCCACTTCCAAAACACACATTCCAAAATACTTTAAATTATATAGTAATTATAATCCCCTACTTTATAAGTATTAGGAAGAAAAACAAAAGTGTCAACAACTAAAATGAACTCCATAAATTCTGCTCAACAACTACAAGCCTAAAAAGCCAAGGGCCCGGAGAGCTCCTCCTGCTCATCTAAAAACAGGGGTCACTTCAAACCGACACGTGTTGAAATCCGCATAAGATTTAGTACAGTCTCTGCCACCTGGCGATTTTTTTTTTTCTTTCAGACCACGAAATACCACATTACTATCAACTGCAATTCTACCAGACACTTCTATTACTTCAGAGGTCTAAAGCCATCAATTTTAAGGCTGCAAAAAAATGGCCGGTGAGCGCACACTGGACGTTCCGAAGCATTACCTGGTGCAGGTTGTCGATCACTCCATTCGTTGCAGATTAAAATTTCTATAACTTTAACGAGGTGCTCAGTATTATCAGGGCTGCAAGAGAGAAGAGTTTTATTAGGAACGTCTTTCCTAAAAGCAAACTCACGTTCACGTACACGCCCCTACAAACCTGCACGTGTGCCTGGGAAGCCGCACCTTTCAAACACAGTTAACGGCCTATCAATTTGCCACCACCCTCATCCACCCCACCATGCTGGTTTCCCTCCTTTCACTCACCTGGCCGCAGGGAATCTGAAAAGCATAGGGCTGAAAATTTCTGCGAGCGCTCTTGCAGTTAAGAGACTCTTGCTGGAGGCCTGCGAGAGCCTGAAGAAGTGTTTTAGCAAATACTGAAGCGTGAGCCAATACTGATGAGGTATGTTGGGCGACCGGATGAGCTTCTTCAACACCTGGGTATATTCTTCGGCGCTCTGTATTTCTACATGTGAAAAAGAGAGGGGCCGGGGGAGAGCAAAGATTCAAAAAGATTGGCTCCAGTCTTTTCCTCCTGGAGTACTTCTGCCCTCTCTTCTAGTTGCAGGAAAAGCCATCCAGAGAAGCACACAGAAAGCCATCAGAGAAAGTCATCCGGAGAAGCACACAGGGCTTCTCCTCTGCTCAGTAGAAAATGCATTTTGAGAAAGTAGAAAGTTCAAGGCCGATGGAAATGCAAGAAACTCTTCCTGTTAAAAAACCACAAGATGTGCAGGGTGTTCTGGCTAAAACCTGCCCAGCTGCTGGGCAGATTCAAGTGTGATTGGCTGACTGGGAGGAGCAGGAGATGAGTATCGCGGGTTTTGACTTTGAAGGCTATGAACCACAGTTTCCTGTGCCCAAAGCATTCAACTGAGGCTTGGCTCCTAAAGCAGTCCCCCTCCCTCGACACATTCAGCTAACTACGGCCACTTGGGGACGCTGACACCAACGGCTCTGGTCACCAGGCCCTAGTCCTGGGTCTCTGAATCGGACATGAGTCCCTGGTGTACCGCGCGTCCTTCACAGGCGTGGTGGCCTTTGGTTTTACCCATGAAAGGGTACCAAGTAGCCATTTCCACGTGCGTACCACACCGGCTTCCTGACCAGTGAGCGCCTGGGTCTCCTGCTGGACACCCATGAGATGCAGTGAGGGTGGGGAGTGTCGGTGGCTGTGCTGGGGAGGGCCCAGGGACCACTGCGGTGGTCTCAGTTCCCCTCCTTACACCCAGCTCTTGGTCAGCTCACTACACGCTCCCCAGGGCCCTGCCGAGAGAGAGAATAACCCACCTTGGGCTAAGGAAAGCATCTCGCTGTACACGGCTACGGGGATGACGGGATTGGGTAAGTCCAGGAGATAGCGTTTGAAAGCATCGGCTAACACTTGCACATCCATCGCTTCCAGGTCCACGGAGGCTGCGTCTAGGAAACACATTTTAAGAAATTTTTCAGACGTTTATTTTATGTATGGGCAGGGCCCGCTTTCTGAATGTCTGACTTAAACCAGGAAGCAAAATGAGGACAAATACAAGACATGGAGATGACTATTATTATTGTTATTGTTAGTAGTACTGCTCATGGAGGCTGCTCCTGGCATTCGAATGGAACAGCTTTTTCTTTGTGTAGCTCGGACCCACGCATTGCAGGCATTTAGCACACCGGGCCCCCTGCCCGGGATGCTGGTAGCATCTTCCTAGACTTCAGGGTAACAAAACAGAACGCTGCTGTTCTGGGCTGAATCGTGTCTGTCCCACATCCAAATCCCCTGTACTGCAGAAAAGTGACTGTATGCGCAAGACAGGCCCTTGGAGAGCAATCAAGTTCAAAGGAGACCATCAGCAGAGGCCCTAACTCCAACCTGACTGGTGCCCTTGGCAGAGGAGGAGATGAGTACAGAGAGACACTGGAGCCGCAGGCACGGAGGAACAATGTGAGGACGCGGGTGAGGACTCAGGAAAACCCGACGCCGGCCTTGGACTTCCAGCCCCAGAACAGGCGGAGACAGACTGCTGGTTTCTAAGTCCCTCTAGCTGCAGTACGTTGCACTGGCAACCCCAGCAAACCGAAGCAGCCCGCACATTATTTGCAGACCCCCTCTGGAGGATGGTTCTGCCCCAACGGGACAATGTTCTAAGTGTTCCTAAGACCTCAACAGGAAGATACAAAATGCCAGTTTTCCAGTGTGAACCAACAGCCCCTGCATCTCAGAATCAGCGTACATCTAACCCGGCAGAGTGCCCGACGCCACAGCAGGAGAGTACAGGATCTTCGCAACTGGTCTCAAGATGGTCCAGAGAAAGGACTCACACGCTCTCCAAACGCCTCCCCCTAATGCTCACTATGGCTGAGCTAACCTGTGAGCGCTAGACCGTCTCAGAAGAAAAGTTAAGACGTGCATCTCTGTGTGGTAAAGCTCTCAGCTGGACCCGGGGTCAAGCAATCTGCCGATGGGGTGATGCCAATCAAACCTGCATGCTCACTGTGTGTGTGGCGGCTGGAGTTCTTGGGGCAGAAAGAGGCACAGTGTCCAGCACGCTGAAAAGAAGGGACTGGGGAGCACGAGGGCCCCGGGACATCTAGAAGCCAGGAGAAACATTCGGCTGCTGCTGAAGATATGCACCGGTGACGTGAAGGGTAGCTGGAGACTTGTGGACTCGACAAAGGTGCGACGGTGCGCTCCACTCTTATTTGCCTTTTTTAACTGCACGGGAGATATGGGAAAGGAGTTCTGGCCATCTACAGCAGAGCGGTGGCCTCTGAGTTCTCTCGCTGTTAAAGTATGTAAGGCACTATCAAGAACCTGGGAAACTGGGTGATTGTCTGGACTAGGCAGTGGCTTAAGAGAGAAGCAGAAAGAATCAAAGTTGACTCCAAGGTGTGTGAGCAGGAGTGAATAGAAGGTGGCATCCTGGGGCCGGCGCCGTGGCTCACTTGGCTAATCCTCCGTCTGAGGCGCCGGCATCCCATATGGGTGCCAGGTTCTAGTCCTGGTTGCTCCTCTTCCAGTCCAGCTCTCTGTTGTGGCCCAGGAGGGCAGTGGAGGATGGCCCAAGTGCTTGGGCCCTGTACCCGCATGGGAAACCAGGAAGAAGCTCCTGGCTCCCGGCTTCGGATCAGCGCAGCACCGGCTGTGGCAGCCATTTGGAGAGTGAACCAATGGAGAAAGGACCTTGCTCTCTGTCTCTCTCTCTGTCTAGCGCTGTCAAATAAATAAATAAATAAAAAGAAGGTGGCATCCTAGAACCCCTGAACTAATGCTATGATAAATTCCTCTAGGCTAAGCCTACACCTTGGCTATTCCAGTATCACAACCCAAACTGGCCCCCACTGAGTAGACAGATATTTTGAAAAATAGCCAGGCAATACCACAAAGCTCTAAGAAAAGTCAGGCTGGTATAAAATACAGGCAGGTCAGCTGGAGGAAAAGAATTACGCAACTTAGAGAGGCAAAGGCATCACTCAAATGTCCTGCAAAGACTAATGAGAGACATTTCCCATCCCCAGCAAGTGTGGGACCTGCCTTGGACGTAACGCAGTTCCTGGCGTAATTAAACACTGTCCAACCACTTCATGTGTGCAGCACCACGGGAACCCGACAGCCACTGACTCCTTGGCAAGCTGCAGATCTCCCGGGTGCTTCTCCTTGCCTGTGTGCCTCATGTAATGTCTCTGCCTGGCAAGTTAATCTTGCTTAATTTGCTCCTCTGGAACACTGTGATAAACCATTTGGCAACAGTGATTAAACGTTTAGACTCTAAATAGGCCCACATCCCTCTCCCAGGCAGGGCTTCCCTCTGTGACCTGTGCTGCTTTAGAGTCATGCCCCATGAAGACACTTGGCATCAGCGTGCTCACGGGGTGGGACCATGGGGATCCCTATTTGACTGACAGCACCTCAAGGGCGAGGACGGAGACTCCCCTCTGCTCTTCCTGCATCCCATGGTGTCTGTGTTCCCGCGAATAAAGGTTTGAAGAGTGCTGCTAATTTACCCAAGCTCTTCCTACCATATGCAAGTCAAAGAGCCCTCCTCATGGCTGAATGAAAGAAATGACCTCATGCAGGACTCAGGAGAGGCTCACCTCAGGCCAAATTCCACTAGAACTGGGGGCCCGGGGTATTTTCTTTATTTTTATAGTAACATAGCTTGTACAGTTCCACTCTGGGGGGCTCCTTTTCTGTAAAATAACTACCCTATCGAGCTCTTCCAGGAGCTACCCCACTGCTGTCCTGTGATGGATCTGACAAGCACCGCGAGCCTTCAGTCCAAGCCGCAGGAGTGCCCGTTCTCTTCTGCCCTCCCTCTCACCGAGTGCACATGCGACTGGTGCCCGCTGGCCTCTCCTTGGAGCGGAGCCCCTTCCCCAGCTCATCTCACTGTTAGTGGGTCTCCTGGGGAGTGGAGGCAGAGGTGGGAGTTCCCTCTTGCTGGAGACCATCTGGAAATATCTCACGACATTTTTGATGGTCTCAGTGGGTAGAGCAGTGCTGCTGGCACCTGGTGGGCAGAAGCCAGGGATGTGGCTACACGTCTTACAATGCACACTGCTCTCCCCTCGCAACAAAGAATTACCCAGCCTAAAGTGCCGAGAATGCCAAGGTTGAGAAAGCTGGATTCGAGGGGAATGAACAAAGACTTTTGGAGTCAGACCAATCTGCATGCAAGTTATGGCTCTGCCACCCAGCCTCTGAGAGATGTCAGGGATGAGTGATCTCATGGTCAGCTTCCTTTTCTGGTGAGTGACAGTAACAGTGACACTGCGAGGCTAATTAGTAGGTGTTAGTAAGAGTGGGCTCTTGTCCTCCCAGACACTGGTTGTCCTTTTTAGACACAGAGTTGGCCAAAAGCCATGGGGTTTTTTTTTGTTTGTTTGTTTTTCAGGTGTAACTGACTTATCTTGGAGCCTCCTCCAGGATATTACAATATGTTTTCTGTACTAAATATCTTTGAGCTGGAAACCATCCTGCTAGGTCCATTCCCAAATTTGGACAATGGCTACTCTTTTTTTGGCCACAAAATTCATTTGTACAGCCCAGAATTCAAATGAAACCAGTTTTCTGAGTGAATGTTTTGATCTCAATGGGGAAAGACAGCTATCTGTCAAACACATTGTTGACATGAGACTAGGTTGTTTGTTCCAGCTCATGGGTGGTATAGTTTTCTTTCCTTTTTTTTTTTAAGCTAACCTACATCATTCTGCGTTGTTCACGTTAAAAACTTAACCACTAGTTCTCAAATAACTTTCAATTTAAAGGTCTCTGATGTCTATACATTTCCTGTGACTTTTCACAAGTTTAATTTGACCAACTTTCTAACCAAAATATATACAAGTATCTGTATTTCAACTGGCTAAGAACAACAGTCAGTGTTTCCTTAAGTGCTGCCAAAGTTGCTAGAGTTACAGAAACCCCAAGCTTTGCACCGTGACTGTTGTCAGTCAACTTCGTGGCCGATGCTGTGGCAAGAACAGAGAGTGAGCAGCAGACGGTATGCCCTGTTTGCCTAAGACCGATTTCCCTAGAAAAAGGAAAAATGAAGATTAAGAAAAATGCTGCTTAAGTTGCAAAGTGTTTGGGCAAAGCACTTCAAGTCAGAGTTTTTATTACGAAAGACCTAGGCCCGTTCTTTTCTCCTAGAAACATCTCCAGAAAATTTCGTAAGTTGCCTCGCTTCCAATTCTCGTTTTCTAAATATCACGTGGGCATTCTTTGTACATTCAATCTTCTGAAGGAACTTTCAGAATGAGGTTTCACTTCTTTTATTTTAAATTGAGTTAGATGGATGTGAGGCAGAAAATTATTTTTCTGGGGGCAAAAAAGGTATTAAGGAATGAAGGATCTGAGACACTCCAGAAACTGATCCAAGAAGACAACTTGTCAGAACGATGGCGGATAAATGGATTAGTACAGAAATCTCTACAAGTTGCAGAGGTCTTGAAGGAGGGGTGGGCAAAAATAAGGCCACTACTTGGCTGGACCAATTAATGTCAATTAATGTGCTCGAGATGGCTTGTCCAACTCACGAGAGCCCACTGCCTTCAGCTCTTCCCAACTTCACATTCAGGGACATCGTGTTGGGTAGCTTGAAATCAACCACGGTAGGAGTTACCTACACTCCAGAGAAGAGCAGACGCTACAGCACAGGGCTTTTTCTGCCCAGAGAGCTGGCTTACCAGCACACCACTGTATTGTAGTCTCTATGGAGAAAAGGCAAGCAACAAGTAGGAAAAGGAGGTGGCGAGTGAGTGAGCCGGATGGAAAGAAAAAGGAAAACGAGAAGGAAAGAGACAACAGAACATCTGAAAAGGAAAGGTAACAAAAGAGGATACTGGCAGAAACATCTGTTAAACAACATAGGCTAATAAGTACTTTTTTAGTGATCTGGATGAATGAGATGCAGACCCCAGCAGGGCCAAGGAAATACAGTAGATATGCAGAGCCAGAGAGATCTCACGGCTTGACTTCTCTCCTCTGGAGTTCCTGCAGGACCCAGGGGCCCAGGGCTGTGACGGCGGCCAGCACGCCCACGGGCAGGCATGCACACACTCGCACCTCAACTCGGCAGCCACACACCAAAGGGCTGCGCCGGTCCGCGCTGCTGTCTCAGCAGGGCAGAAGGACCCAGGCACGACTTCAGAGGTGACTTCTGATGTACAGTGTGGCAGGGACTGAATGACAACCCTACGTGCGCGTTACCCTGTAACGGAAAGGTGACAGCTGTCTGTCCCACGGGTGTTCGCAGCTCTCACACACTCACCACAATCAAGAAGCTGTCGTAGTTCTGCAGGGTTGCTGGAGCTCGGCGTCCTGTAGAGGGTTGAACATTCCAGACCTAGGACACAAAGCAGACTGTGTCAGCACAACACAGCCCTCCGGAGAACCTGCGAGCCTGCTGCCAGACACATTCCAGTTCTCATCCGGCGTCTATTCTAGACGTGTCCCAAACATTCCTGGAAGTCAGCTCCTGCTGTTCATCTTATCTGGTGTGTCTACAATCTTGGCAAAGCCACCTGGCTACTAAGGAGCAAGTTATTCATATTTATTAAATGATGAGGAATTTCATGGCATCCATACAGTAACTGCATGCTAATCTGCAGTCAGAAAATGCGGGCCAACATTTCTTTTCCAATGCACAGCCCCCCAGTGCTTGTGTGTCTAGCACAGCGTTTGCACACAGCAGGTGGTTAAGAGACTGAATCGACGTGCCAGAGACAGACACAATTCTACCAGCCATGAGGTAAGGGCCCAGCATCGGACCCGATTCCCGTTTCCCTCGGTCGGTCTGGTTACCTTTCTTCTCAATGGCTTCCAAGAGCTTGATAAGAAGAGGCGGGGCAACGTCGGGAGGGGCGAACTGCTCTGCAAGATCCGGAAGCGTGGAAGCTGCAGACAAACAGAATCCCACCGTTGTGTTTAATTTGAGGTCGCTAGGTACAGTACACCACATGAAGAGCATTAAATACCGAATGACGTAAACTTAGGCCTGAGCAAGGAGGACACCCACAATGGGCTCTGCACTTTTGGGGCACACAGGCCAGGCTTGCTCCTTCTTTCCAAGGATACACTCAGCGTGATCTATCAAAATCCCCAAGCTTTCTGCCAAATGGTATCCTATGCCACCCACGTGGAAGACCCAGAAGGAGTACCAGGTTCCTGGCTTTGGGCTGGACCAGTCCCAGCCATTATGGTCATTTGGGGAGTTACCCAACAGATGGAACCGCTCCCTTTCGGTCACTTGCTCACTGTCACTCTGCCTTTCAAATAAATATTTTTTAAAAAGATCTGATTGAACAGCTTGTTAAGATGACTTTTAACTAAACTATTTGGGTGTGGGTACTTGGGCCTCCTTCTATTCTTGCCCCAAGCTCTGCAAATGTCAGAGGTGATGGGAAAATGTAACTGATGATCACTGCCCACTTGACATCAGTTTAAGTCCCTGTGTGATTGCCTTTGAAGCCTCTGCTTGCTTACTATGTCTTGGATGATGAGTTAAGAAATGAGACTGCTTTTATAAGTTGTTCTTTCCATGCTCTATCTGCATGTTTTACTACTTGCGATGATACAAAAACGTCAAATTGGAGGACATTCATAAATTACTTTCTTCAACACCGTATTGATAACCAGATCTGACTTCCAAAAAAATATGAATCCATTTTAAGCCAAAATCTTTTTCTCAATATATGCCAGAAGAGGGCGCTAAATATGTTCACCTCAAGTTTCTCAAACTGCAAAATATAAATGACCGTCTTTATGGAAATATCTACGTGTGCAACCTGCTTATCAGCCATCCGTGAAGAACTTTTTAGACAGTTAAGATCCATCACTTGCACTATTACATAGGCATCGTTTATATAATCTAAGATTGTCTAAATACATCTTTGTGATTTTATCTCAGTGAGATTTCGGGGGAGGAGGGATTCTTTATTGAGCCACACAACACACAGAGCGAATTCCTAAGCCCTTAATGCAAGTATTAAGAATCAATGGAGAACAACAACAGATTCATGACACAAAGGCCATGCTGTCCAATTTGGATCTCAGAGACGAAAGAATGGTTTCAGTCGTCTTGCAAACTGAAACTCCGGCCCGAGACCCTTTTGGGCTGCAGTGTCCCCTAGCGTGGACAGACACACAAGACAGTGCCACGTCACTCTGTCGGCCATCGAACCACCCAGGATGAGGAAGAGCTACGTGACGCAGCAAGGTCGGATAGTTGCACTGCCCTGCAGAAGTTTCTACAGATGGAAGCGTTCACTACTCCTGCGCTGCACTAAAGCAGCCACTGGCCACGGCGGCGACGAGTGCACAAAACGTGGTCATGGCACCTGCGAAATAGGTTGTAAGTGATGTGAACTGAGGAAGTGATCAGAGTTAGCGACCGTGGTATGGGAAGGCGGTTCTCAAGAGCTTGAGCTACGGCAGATGTTCTCAATGGCAGATGAGAAGATCCTGGAGTCGGCTTCGTGCCACAAAGTCCCCAGCACAAAGCGGTCCCCGAGCACAGGACACCCTAATGAGGAGCTGGCCCTGCAAAGTCGGCCGCCCAGTGACCTGGAGGCCTGTCACTGGTCACATTGCCCTAACGCAGTCTGCACTTCCTAAGGGCAGGCCAGATGCACCACTTACTGCACACACAGTCACAATGGAGGCCGCCAGGCGGGAATGTCCTCTCTCCTGTGCTCCCACACCTGAGGACTTGCTAGGAATACAGATTCCCAGGTGCTACCCTAAATCCCTAGAATCAGCACATCCAGGAATGGGGCAGGTGATGTTTTGTGTTCGTAACAAACCTTGGGGACACTGTTTTGATAAGAACATTCATGTGGGTAATCCCCTGAGGGAAAAAAAAATCTAGCAATGACATCCCCCAAATTTCTATAAATGTTTAAATGTGAATGTACCAAAAAAGCACTTAACATAGGATTATCTTCAAAGTTTCCAACTTTTTAATGAAAAGTAGTGTAAAATAAGGAAATACGGGGACAGTGCCATGGCTCACTTGGTTAATCCTCCACCTGCGGCACTGGCATCCCTTATGGGCGCCTGGTTCTAGTCCCAGTTGGGGCACTGGGTTCTAGTCCTGGTTGCTCCTCTTCCAGTCCAGCTCTCTGCTGTGGCCCGGGAAGGCAGTGGAGGATGGCCCAGGTGGTTGGGCCCTGCACCCGCATGGGAAACCAGGAGGAAGCACCTGGCTCCTGGCTTCGGATCGGCGCAGCGCCAGCCGTAGCAGCCACTTGGGAAGTAAACCAATGGAAGGAAGACCTTTCTGTCTCTCTCTCACTGTCTACAACTCTGTCAAATAAAAAAAAATTTAAAAAAAAAAAAGGAAATACTACGAAAGAGCACACACCTCATTTCCTCTGATAATGGTAAGCCACTTCCTTGCCTTAGATGGAGTGGGTGATCAGCTCACAAAAATACTCTCTCCTACAAATACCTCCTGTGCTCAAGAAAACATAATAGAAGGGAAATCTACAGCATAGAGAAATGTTACTAGTTGGGATTCACTACTGTGTGCCTCTCTTTAACAATTATTACGTATTTGAAAGGCAGACAGAGACATCTTCCCTCCATAAGTTTATCCCCCAAATGCCTACAGCAGCAGCCAGGACTGGGCCTGGCTGAAGCTCGGAGCTGGAAACTCAGACTGGGTCACTCATACAGGTGGCAGGGACCCAGGGTGCACATGGGCAGGAAGCTGGGGTCAGACGCAGAGCCCAACCAGAACCCAGGCACTCTGACACAAAATGCAGGCATCCCAAGCAGTGTCTTGACCGTGCACCTGGTACCTACCCCCGGTGTCTTTGAGCCATCCCAGGATTTAGTGCACTCCAAAACTCAAAAAGCTTAAGATTCAGCAATAACTACACGGACCTACATATCCATACAGTGCTCATGTAACTAACTTGCCGGACTCCTCTCTCCCCTTTCCCTCTTAAATTATTCAGGCATCATTTGTTTTAAACAAACAAAAAATCTTTAACGCTGGCACTGAAAACGGAATTACTTAATACAGGTTTATCTCCTTCTAGAATCTTATCAACATGATCATTTCTGCAGGCAAATATGAAAGTTAAATTAAATGATAATTAAAGATTTCATCTAATTATGATCGAAATATGCACCCAGCAGTTGTTACACTGCTAGCTTAGCAAATGCTACATGTTAAAAACGTTTCCATCTCTCCATTTCAGCTTGAAAAGCTAAAATAAGCAAAACTTCTTCTCTTTTTCCTTTCACTGTTTTCTTTGGCAAAAAAGAAAAATAAATGCTAGTTTACCAGCAGTATCCTGAGCTACAAAACATCATTTGTTTTACTCATCCAGGTGTTTCTGAAAAGCACTGGGACAGCTACAGGTAGCTAGGGGAACACTGGAACTTTTCTCAAAATTCACATCAGATTACATCCTTTAGAAACGAAATAATAATTAAAAAAACAACATACACACACACAGCAGGAAATACAAATACTTCTTTTGTGATATTGAGTTTCATACTGAACTTTTAATACTACAAAAACGTCACTGCTCAAAAGCGTGAATCTAGACAGTCGATCAGGGCGTTTACAATGGGGGTTTTACAGGTTCATTAATAAGGAGACTTTTAAAATAAAATCGCAATCCAAGGGTTTCCTGTTCCTTATACAATGTCTGGGACTCAATTCTTTTCCCCTTTGAAACTCTTGGAGAATGTGGAAGCCCTGCTCAGAGGCCTCAAAGTTCCCAGGAGCCACTTAAGGCAAAAGGACCAATTACTATCCTCTGTACAACAATCCCAAAATCGATTATTCCTTTAATTCTAGTAAATACACAGGGATTCATAGCTACTTTTCCATTAGATTCCATGTTATAGAATTCCAACAGGAAATGATAACGGCTAGGACCTACCCAATTCGGCAAGCTGTTCTTTGAAAACATCATACAGCTTGATAAACTAGAACATATGGACTAAAAAAAGAGAAAGAGAGAGAGACAGAGAGACACACACAAAGAGAAAGAACAACCTGCCAAGCACATGGAGTGGCGTGACCACGCCGAGACACACGTTCCCAGAGGACGCTTATCCTGAAGAGTCTGCCTGAGCTCTGACAGCGCCCCTGCGCGGGAAGATGCTTATACCTGAACGAGGAGGAGGAAGGCGCCCTGGTGCTGAAGGCTGCTGCGGCAGAGTGCAAGGATCTGGAGAACCAAGCCCACTCATAAGAGCCTGGGTCAATGTGCAGATGCCTTTTCTACAATCCAAGCCCAATTTTCACTTAGCAGAATCACGTTTCATCAACAGCAATCAATACCGTTTAAGGAGAAAGAAATGATGGAGGGACGCCCGGAAGGTCTGGAAGTGGTGACTCTAAGACGCACATTATCTCAGAAGGAGGCACTGGCCTCCAACCCAGACGAGAACACCGGCAAACCAGGCGGCCCAGGCGGCAGGCAGGCTTTCTGATGACAGGGCCCTGGGTGACAAGCAATCACCTGGAACAGAAGAGGGCCCGCCCTCCGCAGGCACGCCCTTTCCAAGCCACTAACAAGGACAGGCCTCAGCAGCCTCGGGCACCAGCCGTGTGTGGGAGACCGTGGCATTCTTCACCCCGCGTGGTGCCAGGAGCGCTGGGAAGTGCAAGATGAAACCGGCACACAGCTGCACCTTTTGGAGGCATTCTCCATACAAAAAGATATTTTAGAGTTCAGTGCCTGGCAGGGCCGAGCGGAAAGTTTAAGCTGAAACACTAGGGCTCCAGAGTCAGCCCCAGCCAAGAATTCCATTACTGAGGGAGGCAGCTGAGGAGTGGGTGAAAACCGCCAGTGACTCCAGAGATGCAACGCCGCGAGTACGCAAAAATGAAAATGCATACGCCAGGCGCGGGTCGGCGTGGAACCAAGACG